AAGCAGTTCACGCCTGGTTTCGCTTTGTCACGCTTGGTCACTCTTGGTCACGCTTGGTTACGCTTGGTCACGCGTGTCACTTTGGCCACGCTTTGTAAAGATTCGTCATGTCTAAAATCTTCCTTCCACATCTCGTCACGCAGTATCAGTGCATTACGCATTGTCACGCTTAGTCACGCTTGGTCATGCTTGGTGACGCTTTGCAAATATTAGTCACGTTTCGACACTTCTCGCCACATCTCGTCACGCAGTTACAATACTTCACGCCTAGTCACGCTTGGTCACGCTTTGTAAATTTTCGTCACGTTTCAGCACGTATGGTCACATTTTGACACGCCGTTACAGTACGGCACGCGTAGTCACGCTTTTAAAATTTTGTCGATATTTTAACACGTAAGTTGTCCTCTCGTGACGCTTTCAAAGGAGGTCTTGCCTTGTCACTAATATATATAATATATGTATAATTGAATTTAATGGAGTGGACAGCAGCAGCGGTAGTGATGAATGGAGTAATATGTCAGAAAGCGAAGGTCTGTGAGGAGTGGAATAATTGAAAGAAGACCGAATATTTGTGAAGAAGATAAAGTTATCTAATACTCTCTGCGGTGTTAATTTTCTAGTGATATGTAGTGTAGTGAAATCGACTTTCCTGTGTTACATACCGGTGATATTTTATTTGGAGGGTACTGTACGCGGCCTGCTGCCACCCCTTCCAGCAAAGTTCTGGTGACTCGCTCCGAGGTTCCAGTTCACAAAGTTCAGCGGCCAAAAACGCTGGAACGCAGTATAACTCAAAATATGCATCGTCGATCAATTGGATGATTATTGAATGGAAAGGATATGGGGTGAAGCGGTCATGACTTAATTTTAAGTACTAATCTGGTAACGAAATGGACCACGACCGCCTTCTTCCATATTCTTGTATAATGACCATTTGTTATCGTCTTTTTACCTTACAAGACGGCGTATAACCGTGTAGTTGACTGTATTTTGTTAAATAACCTATCATCCAAAAGAGTATATACAGAATATGGCGCGAAACACTGAATTGCATTTCTCTCACACGAAACATTTAATCTGTAGACCTGTACGTTTAATAATTAAGAAACTTTATAAAATTCTATGTAAATGACAATTATTTGCACTGTAATATTCAACAGTCAATGTGACTTCAGTAGTAATTGACTGATTATTCTGACGCATGAATGCCTGCTGTAATTGAATCGTTCACTATCGCAGGGATTTAGCATAAATTATTCTGTATTAATAAAATATCCACGATTAGACATCAGATACAGAACATTCCATAGGAGAGACTTAATAATGTCACGAAAAACGTTGCCAGTAACCCAACCAAGATTCAAAACGTGTACCTTCTGAATACAAGTCATAATATTACGTCAACAAGAAACCACTTGATGAAACAAATAGTTTGATGTCTATACAAATTTTTGTAAAGAAATATTACTCTTCGTTCTAAAATAATCTGAGGTACACGCATCCAGAGACTACGTCACCGTAAACCTAGGGCAGTAAATTGAAAGACACACACTTAATGATAACATTTCGAATGTTTTAATTAGCAGTAGGATTTTATTATCAATAGCACAGCGGGAACTTTGAAGTTAAGAATATGGTATATCATCATGGGTATTCAGAGAGGTAACTAGTATGGATAGCCTGTGGCATGTGATAGAGCCTTTGAAGTTAACAGCGCCTCCCATCTGGGCTCCGGTTTGAAAGATTAAAAGCCCAATTTACGTGCAACACACGAATTTAAAAGGGTCGAGTATGTGAAAATTACAACATAGAGGTTTAAGCAAATATAACATCCGATTTGGAACATCAAAATATTTATCAAACGTTAAACTGAAGTATGTGTACTTCAAACCGAGTTTAAGCGTCAATGAATTACATATAAACTAATTATATTTTGCACAGTTTGTGAATTTTGTCCCCTGTTGCATCAGACAGTTTTATTTCAATACAGAAAGAAAATAATTATTTTATTTTTCTACCAGCGAATGTACCAAAAACTGATAATTATTAATATATTTGCATTTTCTCTCCTTTTGTTTAATTCTCCCTTCCCTCATCCGTTGGTTTCTGGTTTCTCCCTCTTTACGAGAACAAATTTTTAAAACGCGTACCTCATTAATAAAAGTCCATTATTCATAATAGTAATTATTCTAATGATACAGTATAAATATTTCACAGTAGATTATTTATTTTCGGCAATTTTAATTGGTTTCAAGTACAGATTTTGCTATTTGATGTTTCTCCTTCTTCTTGGCGTTTCCCCCCATTTTTACAGATTCCCGGCCTCGTAATACCTATCTGCCTATTATTCTAGCCCCTTCTTAAATGATTATATAAATTCCTTCCCACTACTTCACTTCTGGCCTCCAGCTACTAACTACATTTCAGTTTCTGGCCACGTATAATAATTTTCACTCTCCAATATTTACTTACAGCCTGTACACTTGTTCTCCTCTCATCTGCATAATGTCCCATCTGACAAATAGTAAACATATTCAACAGAAAACCTCTTCTTCTGATTTCAATCGATCGCTTTACTTCATAATATCATAATTCTGTGAGACATAAAACCAAGAAAGGTGGTTCGATCTAAGGGTATTTAATGACGCTCGCAGCATTAGCTTAATGATACTGATATAAACTACGATACGTGTTATTTAGAGTAGCTGGTGTCCAGAATCGAACAGAATACCTTGTTTTAGATATCATGTTGCCTCAGATTCTCCTTAGGATGTGTATGTCTAAAGGGTTTCATATAAAATAATGTTGATGAACACAACACAGTCTTTGAATATTTTCGTAAGACGGTTATAATTAGTATGTCTTCAAAGGAAATTTCAACTTATTGTTCCCATTACGAAACGGTTAACAATGTTAAGGAGAGACATGGCCGCGTATACAAGTCAGTAATTATAAATAACGAGATGCTGTTTCAACAGTATTGATTTCAATCAGACGCAACGCAAGATATCTTATTAATTACGAGGTGCTACATTCTACAGAGAGCAAGGTATATCAAAGATAAGTTATATGATACGCCATTCACAATTACGGAACTGCGTAAGACGCCGTAGATGAGCATTGTGTTTATTTTGACAAGTTACACAATTCCAATATCGCGTTGAGCGTATTTAATTTCGTAAGATCATTTTATATATTGTTAACAACGTCGTTAACTGTTTTACTTAAATGGTTCGTGCGTAATTATCTTTATTTAATACCGTTAATATGAAATGTACAATGTAAATTACAGCTATCTACTGTGACCAATTATAACAACAGTTGAAGGGGGCTCTGAATTTCCATGAAAATACTGTTGATACATTGTTCAACGATTTTTTTAAATAATAAATTTTAAAATAAATAGTTTATTTTAAACCTCAGCAAAACATGCCCTTAAATAAGCAAAATAGATTAGTTGACCTTCAGTTTCTAATTTTTACCCGCTAAAGCTCGCAGAGTCCTATAACCTGTCGCAAAAACCTTGAAATTATAATTTTCATCCCTGCCACAATCCTTATCGATTTTGCATACGTTCTATTGCACTATAACTTCTGAAGTTAATTAAATTTAAGAGTTCACTATGGACTGGATATATAACTCTGCCAGAATATAAAACAATTAATGAACAACTGTTTTTGAATATGAAGATAGCTGTCATTAGGGCAATAGCTCATCGCCCTGATTATGGAAGCGGCAAGGACCTCTGAAACTATGACAAACTTGTACCAGACTACACGACCCTACGACCCAGAATAAAGACATCTTCTTACTCACCGCCACGAAAACCTTAAAACGTACTATTTTTTAAATATATTTTTTAAGATCTTATTTAAAAACGGGGAAGGTGGGAGGGTGTCATTATTATTCCGTAATAATCATCTTTGTGCAGCCTGTTTATTTTTATGAGTGCGGTGTGTACACGTAGCTTACTAAATTTCGTGTGGTTGACGAAGCCAGTTAAATCGCAGATCATATTATTTACCCACATCACGTGCATTATCGTGGAAAATGGGCAAAGGCATACACAATGTCAAATGCACCAACACAGTCAGTCACGCTCCATCGGTTCCTACGTGGGCTGAGCTAGCCAGCTGAACACGTCACTCTGTTTCCCAGCAAACAGGAGACACACACATCCAATGATTGTATTGTTTATACTTTGCAAAAGTAAAATTGACAACAACAATATTGGAAGGGCATACTTTTTATAGTACACTGTCATTCTAAAGATGTTCTTCATGTCGCATCAAATAAGACATTGATGGACTAATGCGATCCTTAAGTCTATCTTGAACTGCCTTATTCCGTGGGCATTGTTAAGAAATAATGTATACCAACTATGATCATTTAGGTTTCCCTAATGCAGCTTAAAATATTATCAGATCGTTACTTATCTCCGCTTAATTACGAAAGCTGCTAAGTATTAGCACGTAAACATGTTTTACTGTCATGGATGAGTATACAGTCCTTTGTTTTAATGCATTGTTTCCACTAAGCAACACATACGAACAAATTAAGATTAAATAATGTTATGTAACAAGGGATTTTGGGCCATATGTGGTATTTCTTATGTATATAAGAAATACCACATATGGCCCAAAATCCCTCAATAACAACAAATGATCACAACCAACCAATATTATTAAATATACATATTCTAAAAATCGGACGCAGTTTTATGATTAAGAAGGATCAATTTAAATTAGTGTTATATTTTCGGTAACGCCATTTAGAATGTTGTAAAATAAGCTACTAAGTACTGGTTCCTAATCCACATAAATATTTTTTAAACCCATAAAGATTCAAATTGTTACAGAAAAGACACGCAGTAGCACTGTTTAGGATTCATAACCAATCGCTCTGTAGAAAACAGATAAAATGTTAATAATATCCGTTAAGAAAAATCTTGAAGTTTTTATAATGAAATATATTTTTTTATAAAATGTCTGTTGCCATACCTTAATCCTCTGAACAAGGATCATGAGATTCGAGTTTCTTGCCGTATCAATGATTTTGCTAAGGCTCCTCATATCCTCCTGTGGTGACGCTCGCTATGGATACTCAACACTGTAGCAACATTTGATCCTCCCATTCCTAAAGGGCTCAGAGCTCCTTCAACACACCAATCCACCCCACCTCCAACCCCTCACGTCACTGGGGGGTTTTAGATTTGAATTGTAAATACACAGAAATGAGCCTGCACTTATGTTGGAGAAAGAGGACTCTCGGTATAAAACACATTTTCCTCCTCTGGTACACACACACACACCGTCTTTCACTTCGCCACGGCTCTTCCCTTATCCACTA